TAATTATAGGGAAAATATTACATCAACAATTATTTTATCACCCTTTAAATTGATTTATGGATATTATCCAAGGTGCTTCATGATGCATAATTGGTTCCCAAGCCCAACTTTAGGAACCAAAGTGCAGTGGTTACCAAACTTTTCAGCTTTTGACCCACAAAATAACAGTAGCAGAGACCTGTGTCCACAACTATTTTTGGATGATAAACATTTGTATCAGGTTAACTAAACATGGGCATAGTAAAAATATTTTATACTACATGAATCCATTTTAAATATACTAACCTCACTCCTTTGTAACGACTAAGGCAAAAATGTAATTAATTCAGAAAATCTTTTCAGGACCCCACATTGATGTTTCGAGACCCCACTTTGGGTCCCGACCCCAACTTTGGGAAACACTGCTCTAGAACAATCATCACTGTGAATGAATCCCAAAGCATGAATCCATTTTTCATTTAATCTAGTCACTTGTGAGGGAAACTCCCGGATACTTGACCTCGTACTTTTCAGGCAAAGTCTCGCCCCTGAATAGGAGGAAGCATTCCTTTTTGTTTTTTAACTGAGACCTTTGGCCTCAGACATAGCTGGGCTGACTCACAGCTCATGCTTTGGTTGAACAGGTACCAGACAGCTTTTAAAAGCAATCCCATGACCCCCATCCTTCCCCATCACCCACCACACCCACTCATGGGACTTTGYAAGGCTCCAGTAATATACTTAACACAAAAAGTAAAGAAACATGTTTTTGGTAGGTTATTTCTTTGTTATAACAACACTTGTTGGCAATAAATCTTATATCTTTGGAAATCTTGGTAATTTCTCTTTTAAATGCTGCCACATTTGTAAGGAACATGCATTTGTGGGATGAGCAGTAGAGAYGAGTACGTGGGTTGTGCACAAATATTCTCTGCCATTGCCAAACAGTTTATTCTGCTGTTGCTATTGGCTCTTGTTTTGAGATTCTGGTACCCCCAGTTGCTGCCAATCAGGTGTCTGCTATGAGATTCATTGCCAAACACACATTTTCTTACCTTTTCTTCTAAGTTTATATAGTATGCAGATAAGTTGTAATGTGTTGCAAGGTTACACCTGTACACAACTACACTGTATTAATGTTTCCATGACATGCTGTGTTTCTTCTGATTTGTTTTCCCCTGCAGGTCGTGAACGTTTGTCGGGGATATTGGGGGTGAGCGCTGAGCAAGCGAGTAAATTCCAGAACAGCTTCCTGCAGACCTTCAAAGAAGTCCAGACCTTTATTCAGAAGACCATACAGCAGAGCCACAAACAGGGTTTGTACAGTAAATGACATCGTTTTGTAGGAAGTCAAAACACAGTTTAAAATATACTTTATATGGGATTAGAGATTAAGATCAGGAAATATTTAAACTTGAAGAACCAAGAAGTTAATGTATGACCTACTAATCAGCATCAAGTCTCTACAAAAATCCCAGACATCTCTATGGGTCTGAATCATGATACCTGTGACATTCAATATGCATTTTGAGTTTGAATCCCCAGAACACCCTCAACTATTTTTGATTTTGTGTTTGGCTGAGGAACTAAGAAGAGGATGTGCTTGCATTGGCAGGAACAAGACAAACTGCCACGGRTCAATATTTGAAGGTGGTTCATAAGGAGGGGTTTGATCGGACGGGTTTTATGGTTCAGGAGGGACTTTCTGTTTATGCTCTTACTGGACTGCCAACACAGCACACCTTAGATTTGCACATACTCACACAAAATAGTGTAAAGTCTGCACTTTAACCCTCATCGAGAGCAGGTTGTGAGCCAAGTTTAGACAGGGATGATGGCACAATGCACCACAAAAAAACCCCTGAAGAACTGTTTGAGTTTAAACCTCAGCCTAAAAAGCCAGACTAAAACATCTAAAGTAATCTTATCTGCTCTGTACTGATTTTGGACTTGCTAATAAAAGCACTAGTGAGTCATATCATTAAATCCAGCTGAAATTAAAGGCTCGGCATATGGAGGATGACTCTCTACCACATCAAATTTCAGCTTAAATTTAAAACCAATTGAGTTGTAGCCATTTTAATTGTTAATTAGTTGCCAACCTAAATTAGGTTGTGTTCAAAAGTTATTTAGCTGCAGATGTAGTCCAATTATTACTATCTGAAAGTAAATAAAAATGTCCAATGTTTCTTAAGATGCTTTGGTAAAAGATACAGGCTTGACTCTAATAATTGGCAAAGTTAAATAAAAATGTCACACAATTTGCAGCACTCAGAGTGTTTGACGGGGCTGACTCTCACCTTCTATCATACCAAATTTTAGCTGAAAACCTGAATATTTGACTGAGTTAGTGCCCTTTTAGTGTTTACTAAGGTCAGCTGACATCTTGACTTGGATTGATTCTCAAAGTTAATTGAATTAAAACAGTTTGAAAGTTTGAAGCAAGGGATAATTAGGAGTTYGGAAAGATTTGCTTTAGATGCTTGCTCAGGCTGCTTCTGCATGAAAAAGCCATTTTAGTCATTTTGTTCTCAGGGCGACGGCTATTTTTCATGCAAGATGCAACAGAAAACGCCTTCACAGACAGGTGCTACATCACCCCCAGCAACCTGTCACTAGTGACACGCCCCAACCGCCTGCTTGTCTCATCTCGTTTCCTGGGGGGCAGCCTTCTAATCGATGTGCTGTAATAAAATGCTGCGAACAGATCAAAGAGACTCTCTTTCCCAGGGGTGAAGGTGACAAAGCAAACTCATCCTCATGGTGATATGGGCTCATCAAAAACTGTGCAACAGCCTCCTCAATCCTTCTATATTCTTGTCCAGACACGTCTCTTCCTTTTGTTCTCTTAGTTGCTGTCTCTATTTTTATGTATTTTTCTCATTCTCCTTCAGCCCTCAGCTGAATTTTAAAAGTCTTCTGTGATTTGTAGTAGCTGGCTGTCTCATCTAGTCAACTACATTGTCTGACATATTGACAGCAATATTTTATATAAGACTGGATGAAGATAAGGTGAAGGTTCAACTACTGTCATATTTACTGAAAATGAATTTTATATGACAATGTAAAGGTAGGGCTAGCCTCAGAATGTGGATGTGGCAGCGGAACAAAAAGAGAAAAGCAATAGGAGATGGAAAATAAAGGCCAAAACTGTTTCACCTGGCAACATTTTTAAAGAGTTTACACTAGGGCTGGGTAATAAATGAATATAGTGTATATCATGATAGACGCGTGATCAACATCAGTAGAAACTGTAACGACAAATATCGCAATAGACACGTGATCAATAGCAACAATATTGATATATTCACTCACCGGCCACTTTATTAGGTACACCTTCTAGTACGAGGTTGGACCCCCTATTGCCTGCAGAACTGCCTTGATTTGATTTGATTTGATTTGATTTGATTTATTTAACAGAAGATTCTTAAAAATCAAGCCTGACTCAGCATAATTGCTGTTTTACAGC